GTGATTTGCACGTAATGTTCTGGTCCCCACATTTCAAAATAGACATACCAGAAGTAGAAAAGTTAACAGAGAAGGTGGCAAGGTTTGGTATTGTCAGGGAGGAGCAAGGGACAGGGAATTGGGAACCAATCATGTAACAAGGCCCACAGAGATAGGGGCTTCACCAGCCAAGACTCACTCCCACCGTACCCATGCAGGGCTGGCCCAGTGAGGGCTTCCAGGGACAGCCAAAAGTCGACATTATCCAACAGGTACATAGTGATGGAGCAGGTCCAAGGTCAAGACAGGAGGTTGAGTCAGGATCAGGTCCAGAAATGGTAACAAGGGCCAGACATGGTCTACTGATCACTAGCAGGTCCATAGTGATAAGGCAGGTCTGAAATCAAGCCAGGAAGTCGCTCCCCAGGTCATGACCAGGGTCTAGGTCTGCATGGTATGTGGCTGCAACACAGCTGCAGCATAGCTCAAGGTAGGCCAAGGGCAAAAGCCTCAGCTTAAAAGCAGCTCCCAAAGAAAGGAGGAGCAGCCATTTCTGAGTCTTCTTCCAGCTTTCTTCAAACAGCTTTTTTCAAGATCACCAGATGTACTCTTTCTAATTTGGCCTTGAGCCCAGCCAAACATCCAGGAGGTGCGTGGGGGAGAATGCACTTGGGGCCTTCACAGGTTTGGTCACAATTTTGGAACATCTGAAGAAAGACTTAAGTTAACTGGAAGCTTTTCAACCTAAAGAGAAATAATAGAGCTGATATGACTCATAGCTGTAAAATTATGAATGGCATAGAGAAAGTGACTAGGGAATGAATATTCACTGTTCAATGTAATAAGAGAAGTAGATGGAAATCAGACTTGTTGATTGATTTAAAGCAAACAAAAGGAGGAACTTTTACATACATTACAAAATAAAGTTGTTAAATCAATTCCACAGGAGGTTGTAGATAACAGAAGTATAGGTTAGTCCAAAAAGATTAGAAAAAATCATGTAACAAAACTTAACAAATTTGTTAAACACAAAGACAGTACCTGTCACTCAGGTCTCCCTTATTGTGTTTTGGAAGCTCAGAGGACGCATTAAGGGTACTGTTTATCCAGGTTTCTTTCCTCTTTCCTGAAGTATCTTCTACTGGGCATTGTGAAGTGGAACAGTGAACTGGATGGAACTTTGGTCTGACTCATTAGAGCCATTTGTTTCTCTGTTAAGGACAAAAGACAATGCAGGACAGTCATTCAGAAACAGATCAAGAGGCTTCATTATTGACAAAAACAGAGAGGAGGGAGTTTATACAAAATAGATTTTAAAAAGGGAAAGGAAAAGGTGGACAAAAAGAAGACATTATTCTTCCCATAAAACCTATGGAATAAAAGATAGCAGAGAAAGTGAAAGAGACAATGCAGGAAGTAGGAGCAGCTGGAATGACTGCAACAAGTACTGTGGAAGTAGAATGGACTGAAAATAAATGAAAGTCAGAAGAAAGATTTGAGCTTTGGACATAGTAGTGCCTCACTTCGATGAGATAAAAGTGAAATGACTTGGGGAGGTAGTTATGCTGAAGAGAACCACCTCTGGAGCTGTTTTGAAACGCATGATGGAAAAAAGCATGTGGATGGCAGAAGTCCAAGTAAAAGTACCAGAGCAAGCAGCATGAAATATG